CATCAGCCTCCACCATATAGCTATCATTGAGACTTTTATGCAAATAAGAAACTAAGAACTGCAAAGAAGACCTCTGGGAACCAGACGTTTGAAACTGGTGCTTCTCTATACTTAATTAAGTTGTGCAAAAGCTAACTAAATGAATTCAGAATCTCAGCAACAATACACCTGAAATATGTAGGTTGGGCTAGCCTGGACTAGATACAGATTGTGTTGCCATAGCATGGCAAAAGCATCCAAAAAGGTGCCTTCGCATCATTAAGCAATTCAAAATGCTCTTACACTGCATGCAATGCCATTGTTTTAGAATAGAAATACACCTGCAAAAAAGTGGTTTCTGTATTCCATGAGAAGTCTCACTGTCCATGAACAATCCAAGCCTCTAGCAGACTGGACCCTGCTAGGGGTCCAGTCTGAACCTTTGGTTAAGACCCTCCAGTCTTAACCAAAGGTTCTGTGTCACTGCAAAATTGTTAAATATATGCATGCACAATGCAATTCCACCTCAGGACACAAAGCTGAGCTAGGCCCTTTAACATACTTTCAGTACTGACAATAACACATTACTCTGTATTTATGACAATCCTTTAAAGTTATTTTAACTTTTCATGATCACTTTATTTTCCCATTGCAGACTTGCTCCCATCTTGATTCTTTCTAATGTTTTCTGCTATTAGCCTGGGGGATCTGGATTTCAATTACATACTTCATTAGTTTGCACAGAAATTATTGGGTAGCTCAGAAGTTCAGTGAAAGAAGAAGAGAGAAAAAAACGTGGAGAGAGTATTAGAGCAATCAATGAAACACTAAGAGAGAAATCCAAAAATCATGTTGAGACAAGAAATAATGAGTTCATGTTCAACTGCACATGGCCAGATTTTACTGAATTGATCAACTCCAGAGCAGAAACAGATTGGTGCACAAAGGAATCACAAGCCTTTTAAAAACTATACAGGTAGTATACAGGTAGTCCTCAACTTACAACAGTTCATTTAGTGACCGTTCAAAATTATAACGGCACTGAAAAAGTGACTTATGACCATTTTTCAACCTGTGCAGCATCCCCACAACCGGGTGATCAAAATTCAGATGCTTCACGACTGGTTCATATTTATGACCATTGCTGTATCCCAGGGTCATGCGATCACATTCGCGACCTTCTGACAAGCAAGGTCAATGGGGTAGCCAGATTCATTTAACAACCGAGTTAGTAACTTATCTACTGCATCAATTGACTTAACAACCTAACTGGCAAGAAAAGTCGTAAAATGGGGCAAAACTCAGTTAACAAAGGTCTCACTTAACAGAAATTTTGGGCTTAATTGTGGTTGTAAATCAAAGACTACCTGTACTTTTGAATAAGCATGAACAAAAACAGTGTTCTATGTGTGCCAGCATCCTTGAATTTATTTTACAAACAAAAGCAAGCATCTACACAGTTTTCAAAAATAAAGAAGTCGTTATTGCAAGCAACATGGTACAGGTGATCCTCAACTTACCACCACAGTGGAGCCCAACATTTCTGTTGCTAAGTGAGGCAGCTGTTAAAGTGAATTTTGCCTCATTTTCTTGGTAAGTGAATCACTACAGTTGCTCCATTGTGGTGGTAAATCGAGAACTACCTGCATTCCCAAAGCAAGCCACCGACCGTCCCACGAATATACATTGCACTTTTCTTCTCCGCCGACCCATAACTTAAGTGCCTACCTACTATTTCAAAAGCGCGCTGGGCAACTGCGGGACAAGAGGCGTAACAGGCGGAGCGGGAGGAAAAGAGGCGAGCGCACTGAAGGAGTGCTGGCCGCCGTATCCTCGGCTGCGCGCCCTGGCAGCGCAAAGCGATCCAGTCCAAACTTGATCCTCGAAGGGGATCTTCTCTTTAGTTTGCTCAGGGAAGGAGCTCCTCAGCGGGACGTCAGGTGAAGAAGTTGAGGAGCAAAAGCCGCGGGGGCGCCAACAGCTGGCCTCGCCGCCGACCTCTCGCCCGTTTCTCCCCACGTTGGGGGCTCATGTCTGGAGCGGGAGCACCGCGGAGGCTTTTCCTCTCTGGCTACCGGAGGAGACGCGCCCCAGCTGGAACGGAGAGAGATGCGCCTCTGGCCTCGGGCGTGGCGCAAAAAAGAGAGAGCGTGTGTGTGTGAGAGAGACGGGAAGCGGACAGGCTGGCTGGCTGGCCCGCCCCACTGGAAAGCGCTGGCGCAGCCGCCGAGCCCAGCAGGATCGGGAAAGAAGCGCGTCCCGCCGCCTCTCACCGCGCCCTTCTGCGGGAAAAGTCTGATTTCCTCCCCTGCCCCCCCGTTTAGAATTGCGGGACTAGTTTATGAGGCGGGGCAGGACTTTCCACACACACACACACACACCGACCGGCACTTGCGGAGAGCGCGCGATGGCGCCCACAAAAGTTTGCCCGTGGTTAAAAACACGCGGTCTCGTGGGAACCCGCGACAATCGGGTTCATCGCCGCGCTCTCGGCGAGATGACAGAATCCTAGTTCCCCTGAAAATCTCTGCGCGCCTCTTAGGCGGGAAAGAAGCGCGGTGGGAAGAGTCCGGAGGTCCCGCGCGCTCCGGGCAGCAGAATGCTTTGAGACAGGTGGAGGTTTGGCGCGGAGGGTGGAGATTTTGGATGGGGCTTCCCCCCCCCCCCCCGTGTAGTTTTCAGGTGCGAGGGACGTATTTATCTGCGAGGAAGCCTGGCGGGCGAAAACGTTTTTGTTGGTGAAAGCTATAGGATCGCTGTCCGGGCACTGAGTTTTTCTTTTAAGCTAGAAACAGGATGCGCGTATTTCCTTACTTCTGCACAGAAATCACACACACTTCCTTAAACTAAGCATAGTAGTAGCCAGCAAGATTTCTCCATTGGATCTGGGCTTTTGACAATTGACAGGACGAATGATGATTTGTTAATGAATTCTAACTGAAGGACCATTCAGTTGATCCGAAAACGGGTGAAACATTAAATAAACTATTGTAAAAGGCTAAATAATGCTTGTAAGGGCCTGTTCAGCTGGACAAGGTTATATGCTAGAGGAGGAAACGGGCCCTGCCATCTGTGGCTAGAGATGCCAGAGAGATTGATAATCTTTTGCAGAAATGAAGGCAAGCACCCCCTGTGATAAATGAATAGACCTGTTGAAAATTTGTTAAAAATGGTGAATGAATTAGATGTATTATAAGAGAGCTGGAGATACACTCCTTGTTTACAGATCGCATTGGGGACAGGCAACTCAGTCATTAAACAAAGCAGTTACTAAGTGAAACCACAACTGTGCTTATGCTCTTCCTTCAGCTATCCTTTGCTGAAGTATACAGATCTGCAAAGATCATAAATGCAAGGGCTGATCATAAAGTTACTGTTGCTACCAATTTAAGATGCTTTCAAAATGGGATTAGTCAAATTAATGTAGGCTGAGACAAACCATGACTCCTACTTATAATAGCTGTTTATCTGATGGGCAATATGAATAGGAGGTACTAGTGATTTCTGTCCTTTGTGTAAGCATCTTGGAGACTGTTTAGTCATTCTAAAATAGCTTACAATAGTTTATAGATCTGTAACCTCAAGAGTCTGTCACCAGGGCCCTCCTTGTATTAAGATTTGCTATCATTTTAATACATTTCTGCACCAGTCCACCAAATGGCATTTGTACAAGGAAAACGAATACAGACACATCAGCAAAATGACTGCCGTGTGTGTGTGTGTGTGTGTGTGTTTGTTCTTGTATTCTCCCCATAGCTGTTTCATGAACTGAACTTTGTGGGTTCAGTTAAACAAAGATAAATATTATATATATGATAAATATATGAAGGATAAATATATTAGGGGACTGAAGACTATTAACATATGAAAAATGGTTGCAGGAACTGGGTATGTCTAGTTTAATGAAAAGAAGGACTAGGGGAGATGATAATTCCAATATCTCAGGGGTTGCCACAAAGAAGAGGGAGTCAAGCTATTCTCCAAAGCCCCTGAGGGCAGGACAAAAAGCAATGGATGGAAACTAATCAAGGAGAGAAGCTACATAGAACTAAGGAGACATTTCCTGACAGAACAATTAAGTCAGTGGAACAACTTGCCTCCAGAAGTTGTGAATGCTCCAACACTGGAAGTTTTTAAGATGAAGTTGGATAACCATTTGTCTGAAATGGTGTAGGGTTTCCTGCCTATGCAGGGGAGTGGACTAGAAGACCTCCAAGGTCCCTTCCAACTCTGTTTTTCTATTCTATGAATTCTGCTTGATTAGCCATATGTCAAGAGTGTTGCAATGGAGTTTTCATGTCCCTTGCTGCCCAGAGAGAGATGAGGAACTTGCACTGTCTGAGAAGAGCTTGGCTAATTCCACTCCATGGCAGCGTTGAAGTAGCAGCCATAAAATGTGATGAGATTCCCAGCAGTAAGGAAGGTCACCTATGCCATCTTCTTCCTGAGAGGGTCCTTGGTGTTCTCTCAGCTTGCTTGTTTTCTTGCAGTTTATATTTTGGTGTCTTGCCTGTCTGTGTGGGTGGAGGCGGCCTCAGAGATTGTTTGGTTGGGCTGTTTACTGATGGTTCTGGCAGTTTTTCCTCCCTGTTATATTTTCTTTTATAGTGGAAAGTGGGTTGACTTTTCATTGCACTTTTATTGAGAAATTTAAAAAGGGACATTTCCAATTTTCTAATGATCAGAACAATGTTCAAGCACTATTTCTTAACCGATTTAACAGAGTGTACCAAGAAAATAGCACAAAAAATGCTGTCTCAACAACAGGATATATAATCAGCACCCTTCCCTCAAAGTAATCACACGAGGAAAGGGAGGGAGGGTGGTCTACTTCTTTACATATTCTCTTGAAAAGAAAAATGTCAAGAACAAAGGCACTGATTCTGTTTGCAAATTAAGACGTGAACAATTAACAAACTTAATGTACTTTTCTCAGTTATGGACAACCAATCTCTAAATGAGCCCTAAATTTTATTCAGAAGACTCCCTGACAAGCACACCACTTATAATATAAACACTGGTTGCTTTAAACAGATTTATTGAAATCGACAGAAACTGCTGCCAACTATAGTCACAGAAAAATACTGTGTGTTCCTTCTTAGCAGGAATGCCTCACATACACTTTAATATCTGAAAGTAGCAAAAAATTAGAAGTATAAAATCAGCTGTTATATTGCACAACAAAAATATAGTTTCATCAAATAATCAAAATGGGAGATGACAGCAACTTTTTAAAAGATTGCACTGGCAAAATGACTGTTATTCTCTAGGTTTTAAAATTTCAGTGAATTCAACTGAAAATACAAATATAGAGTTAGAAATGTAATGTAACAAAGTACAATCCTTGTATTTGTATTTTAGTTTACACATTTAAAATTAAATTGAATTTTATTATCAGAATAAATATTCAAATGATTTCTATGAATACGAATAGCCACACTGACAACTTTAATACCTTATTTTGGTATTAATGTATGTTTTAGACACTCTTGATGCTAAAACTCTATTGGCTATCCAAGTCTGAACTGTGCATCTGGTGGGGAAACAGAATAACAGGGCAATGAGATTGTTGGTATTTAATAGGATATAATCTTAGTAAAAAAATAACAGATAACTTGTGAAACCAAAGTTCTCTTCTTGTTTCATATAAAAACTGATACAGTATCAGCAAACTTTTCCAAGATAAAGAATGATTAAATCTTTCATCTTTATTTTTTAATATAAAGATGAAACATAAAACACTGTCTGGCTTAGAAGGACCCATGGCAAATGTCTTTCACAGCTATGCCAAAGAAAAGACAAAAATAGAAACTTTGTAGAATCAACAATCAAAGAATGGAAGGAAGGAAATTTGAGTTCACAGGCTCCTTGTGTTAACATTCAGCATGAAGCCATACATAAAAAAGTTTTTTGATCCATTCTTTCTTTGAAAATAATTACAAGTAAATGTAGATAAGGAAGTTTTGTTCCTAAAATATGGACATTTCTAAAATAATTACATTTTTAACATTATTTTGCATTAAACTGCTCTAGAAATATTATTTTCCTCCTGTTAATATTTTATTGGTTTCAAGTTGCCGATGCAAATCCATGGCAAAAGATGGAATAGGGAGACTGCATTTAACAAATAGACTGCTTGTTGATTTGTCTGGCCTTGCAAATAGCCCACAGTTAATCTCCCCTCCATGTTTTTTTTTAAATCAGTTCACTTTCTTCCTTCCTTCTTGAAAAAAAAAGTCATTAAATGTCAATAAATGACATTCATGGCCAATTTGCTCTCAAGACCTGAAATAGCTGCAGTTTCATGATATCTATAAGCTTTTAGGAGTGTTATTTTCTTTCTACACATAGCTAATCAATTCTTCCCTGCCTAGTGAATTAGTGGTACATCATTACAATTTAGCAAAACCATGATATAAATGTATATATCTCTTGACATTCTTTTCTTCAGACTGCATCTAGCAAACATATTTAAATAAGAGAAAAATAAAGAAAATGAATAATCAGCTTTGGGTGAGAAATAAATTTGGATAGAATCGCAAGCCTTCTACAGAATCGTCTCTGCAAAGCTGACCCATCTTTTCAGCTAACAGCAACCTGCAAAAAAGAGTAAAATATTTTTGAATTATAATCAATTAATTCATCAATTATAATTTCTTCTGTCATTAAAATCAGAATATGTGGAGGGGTTTTACCTTTCTTTGGCTAAAAGCACGGACATTCCTACAAGCTTTGCAAACTCTTCAGCGGTAAGAGATCCCTTCTCAGAAACCTAAGAGGGAGGAAAAGGTTCAGAGCTGAATAAATATTCTGTACGTCACAATGCTTTGCTACCAGCTTATCGGGTTTTTTCATATGTCTGTTGTATAGTGAATATCTATTTTTCTACTATCCTTGATTCAACAGCTTTACCATTCTGAGCAACTGCTAAACTTCCACACATTTTTTCATGCAAACTTTATATCAAGTGTTCCCCAAAATTAACCTGGCAGTTCTGTAACTGTCTACTAGGAATAACCACCCCTGCTTTTAGAGATATAAGACACTATCATGTTATGACTGTACCCTTAAGCCTTAGATGACTGGTGGGGAATCAGTCAATCAATCCAAAAGCTAGTTTCCCCTAACCCAAGCCCTAGAAGCAGTTGATAAAATGAGAGTGTGAAGCAATGAGAACTCCCATAATCGAGTGGTCCTTCTGAAGACTGCATGCTTCTGTTGGCCACAGTGATACTAGCACATGTTTACAAAGACAAGAATGACTCTTGCACTTGAGTATGTAATTGCAATAATGAATAATACTGAAGCTGAATACTGAAATACATGAGCCATGGTGGCGCAGTGGTTAGAACGCAGTACTGCAGGCTACTTCTGCTGATCACCAGCTGCCAGCAGTTTGGCAGATCAAACCTCACCAGGCTGAAGGTTGACTCAGCTTTCCATCCTTCTGAGATGGGTAAAATGAGGACCCAGATTGTTGGGGGCAATAGGCTGACTCTAAACCATTTAGAGAGGGCTATAAAGCACTATGAAGCGGTATATAAGACTAAGTGCTATGCTAAGCTGGCTTTGTAAACATTCCCACCAGGAGACATATGGATTCCACCTCTGAATGATTAAGGCTCACAAATCATCAATGGCTTGCTTAGCAAAATTTAGTATGATATGCAAACACAGGACTCTAGTTCCATCTACAAACCAACCCCCCCCCCCCGCCATGGAAACATCATAATCTGATAAGTTTTAATAACAGGTTAATAAGTTTATTATTCATTGTGTTACCTAGCTTGCTCTGGGCAAAGTCAGAATATTGCTTGCCACACGTCATGCTAAACATGTTTAATCAAGCTAAAACATTATCAGCCACCCATCTTCTTCCAGGTGGATTCGACTCTGAATAACAACATGACCTGCAAACTGGCCTGTTCTATTGAACTAGAGTGATAAAACTAAGAGGAAGAGCATGTTGTGGATTAAGGAAACGTGGAACATTTTTAAAGCTTATATGTTGGGCTTTCCCCATATGTAAGTTGTCTGTGGGATTTACATGAGAAACACAATCCTTGTCTGGCCTTGACAAATCCTGAGAGTTCTGAGAAAACAATTCTCTCTTGTCCTCTTCCCCAAGAATGTGGTGAGTCAATGTGATAATCCCATATCAGAAGTATCTATGGGGAGGGAAAGGGCTCAGATTGAAAAGATCGGAATTGCAATGTTCTGATGCAAACTTTGCCTCTTTTCTGTACAGATAGTCCTTGATTTTACAACAGTTCATTTAGTGACTGTTTGAAGTTACAATGGCACTGAAAAAAGTGACTTGTAACCATTTTTCACACTTGCGACCATTGCAGCATCCACATGGTCACGTGGTCAAAATTCAGATGCTTGGCAATTGACTCATATTTATGACGGTTGCAATCTCCTGGGGTCATGTGATCACCAATTGTGACCTGACAGGCAAAAAGTCAATGGGGAAGCCAGATTCACTCAACAACTATGTTACTAAGTTAAGAACTGTGGTGATTCACTTAACAACTATGGCAAGAAAAGTCATAAAATGCGACCAAACTCATTTAACAAATGTCTCACTTAGCAACAGAAACGTTGGGTTCAATTGTGGTCATAAGTCGAAGACTACATGTATGTGATGCAATGCAACGTGAGCACCCAAAAGAAATACAATTTGTGGCACAAAGCAGTACTGTTTATCAGAGAGATCCTATGGACCCATATGCAATCAAGTTGTTGGCAGAAGAAAGGGTAACAAAAGGGTAACAAATTTGATAAATATCTAGCTTATCTTCAATACATGTGAAACGACCCTTTTTTCACATAAAGCTTATTCCAGAAACAGGAAACCTTTTGAAGTCAGGCCTGTGCCCCTAAACATTGGGTCAATTTCCAGGCCTTTCCTGCTTTGCAATTTAATTTAACAAATTCATTTATTATTTTAAAAAGTAGGGCAAACCCAAAAACATCTAATGTTTTAAAACGGGGTTTAGAATGAATTTAGAAGTTTTCCAAACAAGTATTTCCATGATAAATGATCTAGGGTTAAAACACTGCCTGTATTTGCAGTATAAGAAACCTGTTTCAATAAAGATAGGAAATAATATATGCAGATAGAAAGGAATCTGTCAACATTAAAGCTAAATATACTGAGCCCAAACCAGATAGATGTCTTTTCTCCTGGCAGGTTTAAATGTGTGGATCTCTACGGATGTGTGCTTAACAAAAGATAATAAGCACAAGGAAGAAGCCCATCTAGATGCCAGGCTAAGCAATAACAATATGACTCTTCCCTTAAAATACATACTGTCTCTAAAGCAGATGCCACCATTTCTTCTTCATTATGTGATAGGAGTTCAATCACCATAACACCACTGTCGAATATACGTAACCTAAATCCCAAAAAGAAAGAAAAACACAAATCTGAACTCTAATCTGTCACCAAAGAGTTGGATTACAACCAATATGATGTCCAAATGCTAATAGCACTAGCAGTAGCCCTTAGACTTATATAATGCTTCACAGTGCTTTACAGCCCTCTCCAAGCAGTTTACAGTCAGTGTATAGTTGCCAACAATCTTGGTCCTCATTTTACCAACCTCAGAAGGATGGAAGGCTGAATCAACCTTGAACCCCGTCAGGATTGAACTGCTGGCAGTAAGCAGAGTTAGCCTACAATATTGCATTCTATAACCACTATGCCACCACAGCTCTAATACTCTGCCTTGGTATCCCCTACTTCCCCTTTGCGCTTAGAAGGACACAATAAAATAGAATACTTCCATATGAGGATTTAGAGGCAGGTCCTAGCAGTTCTGTGGCTTCAGTTACACAATAGGTTCAACCTGGAGACTGAATTAACTTGTCTTCTTGGTTTAAATAGAAGTGTAAGCTGATTCCACATTAATACACTAAAAAAAATGATCACGTTGCATAAAGGCAGTGCTCAGGTTTGTGAGTGATCTTTATGAGCACATCTTAAAGTTAGTTGCTGCCCATATACTGATGCCTGCTGAGCTCCTTTCTTGCAAATGGGCAGTGCCCCACTAGCTTTTTTTCTTTGCTCTGCTTTTTCTCATATCTCCATCACCCATGGTTTCCTCAAGTTCCTGTTTTCCTACTATGGGTTATTTTGTCTTGCTTTCTTTAGCCATTTTAATTAGCTTTCCCCAAACTCCTCCTCCTTCCTCATTGTATGCAGCCTGCTTTGATCTAAGAACACTGAAGGTTTTTCCCAGAGCCCCTCCTCATCTACTAGGTCCTTCTTTGCAATTCCACACTTCCTCTTTCCTGTTCCTGTAATGTTGTTCTTTATTTATCCACCTTTCCAATGTCTTTTCCATACTGTGCATCCGTAGCATCTCCATGACTTGCACACTCTACTTGATTTACAAGCTCCTTATGTGCAAGCATTTGTGTCAATCCAAATGTCACATAACTCTTTCCTCATGCATTTACATTGTTAATTGCCAAATTCTCTATTTTTTAAAAAAATAAAACCTATAAAACTAGTTGTTTTAAACAGATCTTGCATATAATTATTAGTCTATTAAATATTAAACTCTTAAACTGGAGGACAACAGTTCTATTTGGAAGGTTTTATATATGTAAAATTTCCATTTGGAAGGTTTTATATGTGTGTGTGTGTGTGTAAAATTTCTATTTGGTAAGATAAATAGCTGTGTGTTTGGCAAAGGAATCAAATCAAATCTTTTTGTAGTGTTTTCATTCCGTTAGTCTGGAACATAGTTGTCAACTTTTTAAAATAATCTTAATTCCTGTGCTTTTAATAGCTCGACAAATAAATTTCTGTTAGCAAAGCTTTTTCTACATATAGTGATAACAACTTGGCATAACTTAATTGCATATGTCAGAGTACTATGAAAGACATTACAGGGCGGATGAAGAACTGAAAAGTTTAGTCCAGTATGATTTCTACACTCCATAAATACATGAGAAAGCAGCATGGCCAGCTTTATGAGAACGATATCGGACTATAATATGGGCATTTTCATATGATGAGAAAACTCCACACTTAGATTTGGGCTTTGCTTTTTGCCGCTCCCTAATTCTGAATCTCGTTTTTCTCCACATTGGTTTTATAAGGATCTGAAAAACACATCAAATAGGTTCTATGTGCACATCTGGAGATCCTGAACCAAGGGCAGGATGTAAATCTAACAAACAAGTAAACAGAGCTGTGGTGATGCAGTGGTTAGAATGCAGTATTGCAGGTTAATTCTGCCCACTGCCAGCAGCTCAATCCTGACCAGCTCAAGGTTGACTCAGCCTTACATCTATCCAAGGTAAGGACCCAGATTGTTGGGGGGCAATATGCTGACTCTGCAAACTGCTTAAAGAGGGCTGTAAAGCACTGTGAAGTGGTGTAAAAGTCTAAGTGCTATTGCTAAATACAAGGAAGGGAAAGGACTGAGCCCCATCCCACCCTTTGAAAGACTGCCCCTGCACCCCATTAGAATTTGAAGACTTCTTACCTTAGAGGTAACTTTAGCGATTCCAACATCTTACAAGCATTTACTAGATCTTCAGGGGAAAGCAACTAATGAGAAAACATACATAAACTTAATCTTATAATAATTATATATTTAGGATATCCCCACAAGGCTTTTGCATTCCTTTATGAGATTTAAAGAGCAATTAAGAGACAATGATTACAACTGAGTAATGTTGACATATATTATAAATGCAATTCTTTCTTTAAAAAAGTGAGTGTGACACTTAAAGAATGGGGAATAGCATACATTCAGACGGTGCATACTTGCTGAAGACATGCATATTTGTCTTTTTTGAATGCTTCACTGTCATTCTTTAACATGATATGTTGGATTACATAACCTACAGTCTCCAGTCTTTACTATCAGCTAGCTGTGATAATAGGCATCAAAAACTGATGCAGTTGGCCAGCACCAAATTGAGGAAGCCTGTCCTCCCTTGACACCATGTCACTGAGCCTCTGGAAAGAACAATGGCGGGCAGAATTTGCCACCATCTACTTCTTTCTTTCAAATGTGCTAGCCTCAAAATGCACAATAGCTGGAATCCATCTCTCCTCCTGCGCATCTGGCAATTCCACAGCAAGATGCTGGCAATGGAACGTCCCTTGGGTTTCCCATTAGCTGATTTGTAGCAGAAAGCCTTGCAGATATTCTAGTTTCAACTAAATTTCTGTGAGATGTTTACATCTCCTAACCAAGTTTGTGCACATCCTTTAGCTATTTTACTCTATCAACAGTCCCAGGCTCTCAAAGCAGCAGTTTATGTGTGTATAATGTACACACACACACACACATTAACAATTGGCAGACCCACCTTTTTCTGGCTTTCATTTTACAAAACTGAACTTTTTTTAACCATAGGATCCTCTTTGTACTTTAACAGTATAATGATATATATGTTTACCTGTTTCCTAATAATAATCCTAGTGAGTTCAATGGAATTTCATTTCAGGTAAATTTGAAGAGAGTTGTATCTTTAAAAATGGCAATCTACGCACTTGTTTACATTCTATTGATTTCTAATGCATTGCCAGATGACTTATCGTGCTAGGACAATCTTTATGCTTTTGACCAATAGCAAAACTAATGGTTAAGTTCCAGTATTTGCCATCAGCAATTACTCCAGGCATATTTAGTGAACCTCAATTAGTTTTGTTAAACTGCAGAAGACAATGCATTCCTTACCTCTAGGCCACGAGCACGATTCACCAGACAATAAACTTCTGTGAGGGACATTATTCCTCCCCGTTCCTATTGATTTAAGAACAGCTCTTAAAACACAAATTCTGCTATCCCAAAGCAAATCTGGCAATCTGACAATATCAATATTTCTAGAGAGGGGACTGGAAAATTAAAAATGGTGCTGAAGTTATAACCCGAACAGATGTAGCTTCACAGTAGCAACATTTCTGGTGCCAAAACCAACAGGTGCAGGACAGTGGTACAGAGGACAGCGGTACCAGAACATTCAACAGAGGCATAAATGTGTCAAGTCCTTCCAGTCATTTTTTGCCAGTGGTACTTAACGTTGCCAAAAATATACCTCAAATCAACAGTCTCCTTCTATCACCAGTAGAGATATGAAAGACTGATAGTGATAAGAATCCTTTTTCTAAGACTTAGCTTTTAACAAAATACTAGACAACCCGTGACTCCCTGGGTCATCCTTTCAGAGGCATTTCCTTATCAGATTTCTCAATGCTTCCAAAATTGTGAGAGCTTCTAATGTACTTTCTTCACTGGAAAAGCTGGGATACATTCACAGGTATCTGCCTTGAAAATAGCCCATGTTGAATAGTATAGCACAGTCAAACATTAGCACAGGAAATGTTTTATGACATTTTGAATTATGCCATAAAATGTTTTATGGTAATTTTTATGTCATAAAATGTTCATAAAATTTGCAAAATTTCAATTTTATGGGAATCATAGATTCTGGACTTTGGACACATCTGCAAGTTAACTCATTTGAGGTAACTTTGGCTCAAAACATTTTGCCCTATGATCCATCATTTCACCCAGTTAAAGATTATAGGAATCGAAAGTTTTAGTAATACACACACACACACACACACACACACACACACACACACACACACACATAAAGAAACATGATATATATTTATTCTGAAATGCCTCTGAATTGAATTTTCGCAGAACTTGTATTACTTTATTTGCCATTCATTCAAATATCTCTCCTCTTAGCATGCCTGGATGTGAATAACCACATTGGTGTCTTGCAATCATCTTTCAAAATGTCTCCCTTATTCTATGGCATCCAAATATAACATTTATGCTACAATAGATTTTAATGAGTGTTTCTATACCGGAGACAAATTCCTTGTGTGTTGCATCACAGTTGGCCAAATAAAGTTCAGTTCAGTTCAGTTCAGTGCAATTCAATTCAATATTCTGTATGATGTTCAAGTTGGAAGAAATCCCTCTTGGATACTTTTGGTCTTCTCTTTAAGCAACATCCAAACTATCAAACTGTTTATTTTTTTACTGAGTTTTAGCTTTTACCTGCCTGGTTTTACATGTCTTTTATTCTACTGTTTGTGCTATTGCAGGGGTGTCAAACTCAAGGCCCAGGGGCTAGATCCAAGCTCCCATTTTTGCTGGCAGAGGGTTGCAGGAGGCCGTGACAGCCGAAAACGGGAGCTCAGGAGCCCGTTTTCGCTGGCAGAGCACTTGGGCCATCATAGGCGCCCCCAACACAAGTAATGTTGAGCTGGCCATGCCCACCCCAGCCCCTGAGGGTCAAATACAACCCTGATGCAGCCTTCAATGAAATCGAGTTTGACACCCTTATGCTATTGTATGAGTGATTTTACTTGGATTTTTTTTTCTCTGTAAGATAGACCTTGCTTTGTGAATGCCTTCGGCAGTGATTGAAGTTAAGATGGTGATGATGAAGTAACTTTGTGTTCCATGTCTGCATTTACAATCTTTAAAGTGTCATGCTCAGTGATTTGCTTGTCTTTACAGTAAGTCACCTTGCTGTCCTGGGCCTGACCCTGTTTTTTTCTCCCCACTCCCACACCCTCATAGAATGGAGAAAATTCCTAAATAAGAAATCTTTTTTGGAGCTGTTTTTCAGTGCAGAGCTTTTATCTACAGTGCTTCCCCCAAAAGTGCTCACCCCAAGTTAAAAAGCTCAGCTCTGTGATCATAATTAGCTGGCTTGTAGATGTTGCTTGAAACTGAAAGGATTTTAATTATTTTCACACCTTGGTTTCTTTTTGCCTCCTAAATGGCTCAGGGTTGGGAGCCAAGCAAACAGCTGGTCCTAGCATATTCCTTTTCCATTGTGTGGTTGCTTCCTATCTTGTAATCCCTTTCCCTCAAATGAATGTAAATAAAACATTAATTCTCTTCTTGTTGATTATTCCAGCATTGGGATGAGCATCCCAAAGGACGCAGGAGTGGGGAAAAAGGAGAGCTTTTTTTTTTTGTTGATTATTCCAGCATTGGGATGAGCATCCCAAAGGACGCAGGAGAGAAAAAGGAAAATTGGAAGCACCATCACAGTCAAGTGGTGTTCCACTTAATGACCATATCACTTAGTGACCAAGTTGTTAATCTCAATTGTGATGGCTAAATGAGGACTATGTATATTTTAATGGATTCATTTATAAACAGTTTTGATTTCATAAGGCAGTATCCTTACCTTATTAAGTAAGCTATTAATTTTTTTCCCTATTATGAGAAAGGAAAACAGAATTATAGTAGAGGAACTGAGATCTGTAGATTCAGGATGATGTATGGATGATGTATAAAATAAAGACACTCTTGGAATCAAATATGTTAACTTTTTTTTGATAACAGTTCAGTAGTGATTTTCCAAGATTTCCTTTTTCAAATTCTGTATCTAGACTACAACCTCAGGATTTCCTGTTATCTGATCCACGTGCTAAGTAGATTTGACTTCCTTGACCTTTTAAGTCACAATGTGCTGGTATATAAGGCTGCACATTAAAAAAAATAGAAGACAGTTAAGTACTTTACCTCTAAAGGTGCCTGTAAAATTCCAGCTAATTGTTTTGCCAGTTGCATATGGTAATGAGTGCCAGATCCATAGGTTTCCCGGGTAACTGGATTGGCAATGCCCATGCTCAACAAATAGGATTTAAATCTTATTGTCTAAAAAAATGACAAATTAAAATTGAGAATATCAGATTCTTTATCAAACAGTAATTAATTAAAATAGACTACGTGAACTTGGAAGATCCTAATACACACACAAAAAAGAGGGAAAATTTTAAACAAAAGAATGATATCCCCATACGGAAGAACAATAAAAGGAAGGAAGGAAGGAAGGAAGGAAGGAAGGAAGGAAGGAAGGAAGGAAGGAAGGAAGGAAGTTAAGGAAATGTTCCTCAGCCTGACATGGTCATGATGTACACCTGGCATATTTGAAAAAAATGTAGCAGGATCCCATCATTCTTTTGTCACTTACTTTCTGATAAATAGATTTGAGGAAGCTTGCTAATCCACACAGTGGATTGGTAGATTTTCCATGAGAAGCTTCCCTTAATGATATGGGAGTCTCAGTTTTGTGTTTATTAAGGTTGAGATAGCGGAAAAGAGATTTGAACTCAAGAGTAAGATAAAGTATAAAAATGGAATGTTGATAAGTCCCCACTTGTAATATCATGCAACCATATTATGGACCATATGGCACTCCACTAAATTGGCTATATTTACATAACACTAATCTTGTTTTACCTTGTTAACATTTATTTACCAATATTGACTGAACAAAATCATAGTTTATTGAAAAAGGAGCTGTTTTACAACTTAGAAAGATGAAGGAATCATAATTTAGCAGAATATTAGCTGACCTCATCTTCAGTGATGTCACCCTGCTTTTCTCTGATCTTGCTAGCAATTGATTTGGACAATTCCACCATTTCCTTTGCCTATAAGACACAAAATAAACCACAAAATCATGATGGGGCACAATCTTGCTCCTTTATTTTGAGATCAGTCTTCATGGAACAAGCTTGAGTTGCTGAACTGTTCAGCCGGTCAAAGCTAGGAAAGAGAGTTCTTGGATTAGGTTTGGCTAGCATTTCCCTTCCTTCACAATCCAGTTAGGTATTATTAGAGTCAATTGCTCACTATATAAACAAATATCTACCATCTAGACATACTGTCAATAATGTTTCACTTTATTTAATATGATAATAACTTCACAAGTAATCATTAAACTATGACGATTCAAATAATCCAGTTTATTTGTAGTGTGTGCATGTATTTATATATATAGAATGATACAAGTTATACTTCTATATAGCCGAGTCCCAGAACCTTCCTCCCCTATTTGAGTCTGTTGAATAAAATTAGTTTCTCCAGTCCCCAATTAATCAGCATGTTTACTAATAAAGTGGAGGTATTACCTTTTCCATCAGCTTGCTGAGGTCTTCAAAAGCCTGAAATAATAAACTGATTTAGTAATACATAATTTCTTCATATTGCAATAAAATGCAATTATGTCACACCTGTAACTTCACCATTAACTTTCCTCCCAAATTAAAAAAAACTAAAAAACAATTGGTTGCCATTTTTGGAGTTCAAGTATCAGTAATTTTAATACATAAATAATTATATACATACTTCTGCTTTGTAATCTAAATGGATTTATTCTGACTAGAAAAGCATATTAGAGACTTAGCTTTAAAAAGCCTCCTACCTTCTAGCAATTCATTTTCAACATAGTTTGAAAGTAAATTCCCTGTTTTCCTCAAAATAAGACATCCCCTGATAATAAGCCCAATTGGGCTTTTGAGCGCATGGCAATAAGGCCAAGCGCTTATTTCAGGGTTCAAAAAAATATAAGACAGGGTCTTATTTTCGGGGAAACACGGGTAGTTACTCTAAACCGGAATATTCTCATCTGACCTGTAATTATACATACCATAATTTTACAAGCTGAAAATAAATTAACAGTAGGAAAACCTGGAAGAATTTAATAGGGCATGGTGCTATGTAGGTTTTTTTTACATATATATATTTGCAAAACTCACCATTCTAATTAAAATGGCATATTTAGTCTTGCTCTCAACAGCATAAACAAATTTCTTACCCAACATTAATTAAAAAGAAATCTAGATCAACAGACAGTGTGTTTTAAATAATCCTTCTACCAAATGATTCAGGCTTTAGTACAAAGAAAAATGTATACACACCTGAAAGGAACTTCCTGAGACAACTAATGGAATCACTTTAAAAAAATTAATAATAACTAGCAGATGCAGGAAGTCTATTCTAAAATTCAGGGCATTAGTTTTAAAATTGAATGATCTGAAATTAGCATTACTTCACAATGGTTTCCCTCAGCTAACATCCATTCCTTGTATCCTCCAATAAACAGAGGAAGAAAGAGACAGCAGAGTTACATGTGGCTCATGGTCATACGAAAAATGCAATATTGGTATATTTTTGTAAATCTGCTAAAAGAGCCTCCTTTGTGCTGTTAGTTCACAAGCTGAACAGTAGTGAGGAGATGACTGTTTCTTGTAAAGATCTGTAGAAAATTAGTCAGAGAGAGAGACACACATGACTAGAGCTTCAGGATGCTTAACTTAATTCAACTCGGCATCTACCAGCTTCAGAAAGCCTTTGGTCTGCCTTCATCTCTGTATGGCCATGAAATGAATTTCAGTTCTATTTGCTTTCATTTTATCACCTGAATCAGAAACATGTAGTTTAATATAAAAGTCAGTGTCAAAACCTATTATTAAAAGTTGGCTTATATTAGAAATGAGCAGGGTATGTGCTGAACCAGGATCCTCAATTCAGACAAAAGAAGAGACTATGGTTTAACAAAAGCAACAATAAACAGCTCCCCCTCTTGAATGAGCAAGTGAGAGCAAGAGGCTAGTTGTGGTTTTTGTTTATGTCTTCAGCCATAGTTTGGCCTACACCTAAAGGGAACATCTGCATTTTAACTGAATAAAGAACATAATCCACGCTGAACAAAACATATACATAATCCTGAATCATGACTAGAAATATATCCAATAAAGTAACAATTTCCAGTGACAACCACTCTCCGCAAAAGATTTATTCTCCCCAAATTGAACATCCAAAAATAAGATAACCAAAAGTACAGAAGAAAAAAGAGAATAAAGTTACAAAAAATACAAATTAAAAAACAGAAAAAACTTTTCACAATAGGAAATCTTCAGGTTTATTTCTGTTCCTTTTGCCTGCCCCAAATAGTGATAGCCCTTGGTTTTCCTAACCTTGACAAAACATTTGGTATTGGAAAAGGTCCCCTGTTCCAAACCATAAATGCAATTTGGTGCCTTAAAATTGTAAACTAGAAATGAGTACAGTCATACTAGTTCTGAAGAAAATTACTTGCCTCAGAAATATTTTTATCCATCTCTTTTCTTCTTTCTTCTAATTTCCTCTCAATGCCAACAATTCCTGCAGCTCTTATTCTTCCACTCTGAATAACATATGATAAACAAATTATGATGGAAAAGCAATGCAAGGAAAGATGCAACAAACATTGATAGCTGCATTTAGAAGCAGTATTACACAGTGACCGTCTTTTGTGTCCAACTAAAACCATGTTTGAAGAAGACAAGAAAACACATATATTATTTTGCTGACAGGTAAGTACATAATATTGACAGTTTCCTAGTTTGTTTTGCCTTCTTTCTGCCTTCTTTGTCTTATATCTGTGAACTAGGTAGGGTTCAAAAAGATAACCACACATAGGAAAAGAAAATGCTTACATCAGTAGTATTAGAGAAAATAAACCAAGGTTGCTACATGATTTATTTATAAATAAATAAATAATTAATTAAAGCAATACAATTATTTTTGCCATAGAGCAAAACATGGTTTCTTTTCACATTCTGAGGTGAGTTGGGCTGAGAGAGAAGGATTGGCCCAAAGTCATGTAGCTTGCTTTGATGGCTTGAGCTCATGGTCCCTTGCTTTCTAGCTTGATGCCTTAACCACTAGACCAGGGCTGTCAAACTCCCGGCCCATGGGCCGGATGCGTCACGCACTGGCCATGCCCATGCCCGGTTTAGTGAAGGGGGGGGGGAGAAATCATGATACGTCATGTGATGCCGCTGTGACATGAGTTTGACACCTCTGCATTAGATCATACTGGGTCTTTGAGCAATATATGAACAGAGTGAATGTGCACAGAGCAGGGATTTGTCACCTCCCATTCATTATTCAATGCAGATGAGATGTCTTTCTTTTAGTTTTCAATTAATGTCAAAAGGGGTTAATTGCAATTGTATATTATTGATATAAACTGTATAAACTATATTTTAAAGTTCGGAAAATCATTGTTACGAAAAAACACAAATTGTTGTGTTCAGAGATAAAGCTAAATTCCAGGTAGTTAAAAAGGGAAGCAATATTTCCCTGTTCCCTTGTGGCTGTGCTAGAGAAAGAGAGAGGAATTGATGAGATTAAGGCTCATGTAGGTACATGTGAAATCTTGATTTAACAGAAGACTTGGGGAAAATGGATATCCATCATTCATGATAGTTTGTTAAATTATAATGATTATCAGAGTGATTCCATTATGCAAATTTGTAAAATGACAGAAACACAATGGACATTTGTCTGTTGCATTCAAAGTCTGCTAAACCAAGTTTCACTGTAATCATTATTCACTATCCAAATAAAGACAGGATACCATTGATTTCCTAAAATCTTTCTCAGGTTACCAACTATATTGGCATTTTAAATTTATTATATTTTTCCTTTTACCTAATAACAAAAGGTATCAACCATGCAATGTGTACCTCTTTATGAAATAAAGACCCAATTATATCTTTTATATTATTTTGAAAGAGGTTCCCTTGCAACTATTACTGTATTAATCCAATATACTTGCTTGACAACACATCACATCCTAGGCTCCCAGGCAGCCTCTTCCTCTTTGATGTTTTCTCTATCATGTGTTAAATATCAATCTTACTTAGAAATGAGATATCCAACTGCATACATACCTGTGAAGCCCTGTCAACATCTATGGTTTGAGAAGCTGGCATGTTCTCCCATCTGCGCTGAGACATTTCTTCCGTAAGCCTCCTGAAGAACTAGGTATGTGGCAATAATTTCCAAAAGTGAGCAATTACAAAAATGCATTGAAACTAACATTTCAGTATTTTGGATATGCTGCAAATAAATAAAAGTTGCTTCCTTAAAACCTAAACTAGGTAATAATGTGAAATGTAATGTTTTCCCAAAAATAAGACCTCCTTGATAATAAGCCATCCCCTAAAATATTTAAACGCATGTGCAGCCGGTCCCCACCATTTCATCTGGTTAGGGTTAGGGAGACAGAGCTGGAAATCAGGTAAGATGGCAAGAGGAGCCCCGTCTTGCTCCATGCACCCCAAAATAGTAAGACCTCCTTGAAAATAAGGCCAAGCGCTTATTTTGGGATTGAAAAAAACATAAGACAGGGTCTTATTTTCGGTGAAACCCAGTATCACTCATCGCTGAAAGAATCCAAAAGTACTTCAGTCCATTTTGACCCAAAACACAGAAAAATGTATAATAATGTATTATAAGAATTCACCATTATTCAATTGCAAAACTCAGCTTTACTCAGAATAGCTTACATCCTGTGACAATACTCTAAACACCATCAAACATCAACATCTGCCAAACCCAGCACCTTGGAAAAAACTTGATAGGTGGATAAAAATGTTAAATCCAGTCTGAACATCTGGCTTACTGTGCAACAAACCATAATCATCATCATCTTGGTATTCTGTATAATAAATTCCCTTATCTCTCTTTTAACCACACTAAAAATTATTCCTGTTATTTTTATACAACAGTCATTTAGAAAGCATACCTACCTCAATCTGACCATGTTCTTTGAAAGAAAGCTTGATATATGAGTATTTACTAGTCTGGAATGGACCAGGATCCTTATTGGAACCTACTGGATGAAGATGTACTACTATTTTGGCACTAAAGATATAAAAAAAAAAGGAGAAAAGGAGAAAATGTATTTTTTGTTATTAAAGAATAAATTCCTAAAACCAAAAAGCAATTTTTAAAATTTTTCATTCAGATTACCTTTCATTTAAAACAGGTCAAAAAGTAAGTGGGGGAACAGAAAGTTTCCATAACCTTTAAATCATTTTGTGTTTTTAATCATCAGTTAAAAATTCTACACTTTGAATATATTTACTGGAACATTGGGGACAGATACATCGTTCTTGGTCAAAATAAGGCACAAATAAACTTTTGAAAGCCAAGACCTGCCAATCAAAATTTTCAATTATCAGATGGCATAGAGTGTAAAATTCCTGCAAGAAAGTTATAAAGTTGATAGGGGATTTAATTTACATCCTGTCTTGAGTTCAAAGGTCAAGTAGGCATATCCTTTCCACTTTTCCCTACAATATCCCTGTTCTGGAAAAAAATGACTGAATAGCAAAAGAAAATACAGCAATGGCCAATAAATCTTTAATGCCCTTTGAAGATTTTTGTTGATGATATTTTACCTTTTTCCTATCCCCGCTGCTTGCTCTTCAATGAAGATAATTTGGGAAAGGGGAACAGCCATACAGCATTCCTGCAATAAGACACAAGGGGTAAAGCGAAGACACATTTGGTGGAACACAGTATTTATTCTAATAAACTGTAAATAGCTAATATTGTTCCCACAACAGGGTCTGTCATCAAATAAACATTAAATTACATGGTATCGTTATGCAAAAATATTAATCAATAGCATAGAACTAATATCCAGTAAAATCTTATTTATTTTTTGCTTGGCACTTTTAAAAAAAGCTTATAAGATAGAACCCATTTGTCAACCCAAAGAACATCTGCAAGCTCTATCTTCCTATTTTCTTCTATGTTGCCTGAAAAATTGGGGTGTGTGGACCTCAGCAGATCTAGAAAGCAACACACTGGGAAAAACATACTCTAGCAGATTCCTCCTCTTTTCATCTGATGCTTTGTGACACTGGTGATAGCTACTCAGTATCAATACTGACATAAATATTTTACAGGTAGCCCTTGACTTACAACAGTTCATTTAGTGACCGTTCAAAGTTACAACGGCACTGAGAAAAGGGACTTATGGCTGTTTTTCACACTTACGGTCATTGCAGCACTCCCATGGTCATGTGATCGAAATTCAGACACTGACTTGTATTTATGATGGTTGAAGTGTCCCACAGTCACATGATCCCATTTTGCGACCTTTTGACAAGCAAAGTCAATAGGGACGCCAGATTCACTTAACAACCGTTTGGCTAATTTAATAACAACTGCAGTGATTCACTTAACAACAGTAGCAAAAAAGGATGTAAAATGGGACAAAATTAACTTAAATGTTTCACTTAGCAACAGAAATGTTGTGCTCAATTGTGGTCATAAATCAAGGACTACCTGTACTTATAGACATCATGAAATGTTCTTCACATATTAAAGGGTGATCTTAAAAGCACAGTGAAGATATAAATGTAGTAAATATGTAATCTGTTAACTGCAGTTTGGAAGGCCCTTCAATAACTAAATTACAAGAAAATATGAACTTATTGTTGCTTTCACCTGCTGCAATGCAGGGTAAGACCCAGTGAATTCATTGGGCTTACAACTGAGTAGTCCTAAATAAGATGGAAGTGGAAATTATATGGCAAACATCTGGGATATAACAAGATCACCAATTTCACAGTTTTTATGGCGATTAAACTTTTCAATACTTCAATAGCATACATAGAAGAAAAAAAATGGATTTCTGATTTCCATTTATCTATTTGTTGAAGAAGACAATAAGCAGCAATACATTTATAAGCCACAGTGGCACAGTGGTTAGAGTGCAGTACTGCAGGCTACTTCTGCTGATCACTGACTGCCAGCAGTTTGGCAGATCGAATCTCACCAGGCTCAAGGTTGACTCAGCCTTCCATCCTTCCAAAGTCGGTAAAATGAGGACCCAGATTGTTGGGGGCAATATGCTGACTCTGTAAATCGCTTAGAGAGGGTTGTAAAGCACTATGAAGCGGTATATAAGTCTAAGTGCTATTGCTATTTATAAATGTAATCACTATTCCATAACATGGAAAGGTGGATAGAAGCTTAAATAATAGAGGAGCACATGCTGACTGGACTAGGGCATAGGAGAGAATAATCAAGATTATGAACAAATCCTGAAACCATCCAGTCATATATCACAATGATGTATCACACCAATTTGTTTTGTAAGAATTCTCTGTTCGATAGAGATAAGGAGCTATAATCCTAAAAGATAACAGCTTCCTTAAACCAGGTTGGTATTAACAACTTTCTAATAATGGGAAATCTTCTTTGGGGATTGTTCTCTTTTGGACATTCAAAAAATAAATTGAGATTCCTTTACCAGATTTCTTTGGAAGGTAGTGCTATTATTTGATAACTTTAATAATAAAAAGCAACAGGTTGCTTTTAATAAGTAACTCTTACTAATTGATCACAGGACTTTTTGGACACAGCTATTTCAACAGCTTAGACTGAAAGTTCTTAGAATATAAGTTACAAAGGTTACAGTATTACATACATTATTAATATAGTTTTGAAATGTTCATTGAATTCTCCATAATAAGGCTAAGCAGGTCAAATAACTAAAATGGTTAGGCATATACTTATTTTTGTACTCAAATTCAGTTTACAACTGCATGCAGGTACTCGGAAGAAGGTTTGAAAGGATTTGCTTCCCAGTAAACATAGGAAATGGAATCCAAAGTTACTCATACAGATTCTATTCACTCAGCACATTTTAAAAATTATTTGTTAGATAAATGTCCTCCCTTTCATTCAAGAGCTCAAGGTAGGGAGCATGGTGGCTCATGAGGTTAGGACGCTGGGCTGATTAATAAACTCACGTTCGAGACCTGATTGCTGCTGCATGGTGGGGTGAGCTCCCATCATGCGCACCAGCTCCTGCCCACTTAGCAGTTCAAAATCGATTAATCACAAGTAGATAGGTACCACTTCGATGGGCACATTAATGGAGACATGAAAGGAGCCCCCAATCAGGGGTTCCCCGGCAACAATCATATCACCGGCTAATCTTTTCAACCCGGAAGCACCTTAGGCACTTTGAATACAAGTGCCAAGAGCCCAAGGTGGTATATAGAGGGCTCCCTCTTCCCATGTTTTCTCACAGCAGCAACTCTTTGTGGTAAGAGAGATGAACTGGCTCAAAAACATTCTGTTTGAGGATGGAGCTTCTGGAGCTGAGGATGGTCTCCCAATACTAGTTCAATCACACACCAACTCTTTATTATTTTACCATTTTTCCTCCTGAAATCCCTCCATTTCATCATCTACTGTGGTGGGTTGAGGGACCCTCCCTAGCCAACGGTGAGAATACACAGGAACTGTAAGAAAGGAATTACTCCCCTTCATTCCATAAACAGAAAGCAATTCACAGAAATAAATGACTTATGTCACAGAAGTTATACAATAATATGGCTTCTCCAAATTTTGCATTTTCAAATTTTGCATGGAATTACTGAGCTAACAATCCTTAGCAATATTGATCTATACCAGTGATTGCGAACCTTTTTGGCACTGAGTGCCCAAACTGGAACGTGCGTGCATGCGCGTGTATGTACGCGAGCCGGAGCGCCGGAAACCCGAAGACCAGATGGCCAGTGAGCATGCTGGCTGATCTTCGAGTTTCTGGCATGTGTATGCTTGCCAGCCAGCTGGTCTTTGCACACGCTGCAGCACCAGAAACCCAAAGACCAGTTGACCGGCAGGCACATGCCTGTTTCTTGGGCTGTTTTCCGGACCATTTTCCAGGCCGCTTCTTGCCCAAAAAATGACCCCAAAACAGCCTGAAAAAGCCCAGAAATGGCCTGTTTCGGGCCATTTTCCGGCACTCCAGCGCCTGCAGAGCAGCTGGCCGGAAACCAGAAGAGCAGCTGGCAATGGCGCGTATGCCCACAGAGAGGGCTGTGCATGCCATCTCTGACACGCGTGCCATAGATTCGCCATCACGGATCTATAAAGTCTTCTTGGGGATAAGCAGATATGACTTTTGGAGGCTTTTGTTATCCTTTAGGACTTGAGCTAGGAGGGACCAAGACCTAACTCTCTTCCCAATGGCTTCTGTACCTGCCAAGCAATTGAAGCAGAATCTCCCAATAGAATCTGATGTAAACCAATAGTATTGATCTTTTGGTGAATGGCTGGCTGTAGGCTGGTTTTTCTTTGTTAAAAATGTTTTTGGTTTTCTGGTCCCAATCCCTCAGAGAAGAGCTTGCATGTAGGATAACCCACAGCTATTTTGAGAACTTGTTGAATGGTCCAAATAAATCACACTCATTAATATCTGAGCTTTCTTTGCTTGCCATAAAACTTCTAAAAATAACAAACTGAAAAATATGAAGTTGAACAGAGAGGCTTATTTTGGCCATACAATTATCAATCAGACTTTATCATATATTACAGGAAAATTACATATGCCAGAATAAAACTACTTACATGATTTTTCTGATCTCTCCAGATCAATCTGTGTGTACTAAGGAGTAATACTCCAGTTTCAAACTTCAACTAGAGAAAAAAAATGAGTAGATTTTAAGATATTCAGAACCTTTGCTTCCCTTAATATGCTATCTTTTGTAGAATCATACATGTTGTGTTAGGAAAATATTTTGTGAACATGTTGTGTTTGGTTAATAAAAATTTCAAAATTAGACTGCAGAAAGGGAGAAGAAATTACATTCCTTCTAATTTAATGATCCGCATCCATTTCCATAGGAAAAACAATAAAGTGCAAGATGACGAATTTAAAAAAAAAGTCAAAAGAAAATGTCATGCAGGAATTCAAGATGTAAAGAACTAACAACAAATGATGGCTGAGACTTTGTGTTTTGTAGCAGACTTATGCAAAAGAAATATTTTCTTGTCACCAAATCTAAGTCATTTTAATAAACATATGTTTTCCTCAAGGTATTTTCCTAACTAGCTCTATCTACCTATCTAAGGGACTCCCTTAGTCAAAAATATAATAGTTCACACTAGCCTGTTTTATGATTCCTTTATTTTCATGAACTAAACCAAGCATTGCTAAAGTGAAAGCTTAATCTGAGAACATATGAATCTCTTCTAAGGATGCCCATCACCAAGGCACCATAGACATGTACAGAAAAGAAGTCTAAAACTCTGAACAATACTTGCTACAAACAATAAAATTTTTACTTCCTTTTTAAGACATGGTCACCATTGACATTAAGGAAAAAAATTAAGCAACAGATTTGAAGATACCGCTACTGGATTGATTCACATATTGTGAGAAGCAATGTTCTGTTTGATTATGATTTATTAATAAACCACAATTTTATGTTCACAGACCATCGTTTGCAAAATATAGTAGTTGGGTTCATAGAAGACAAAGTGAAGGAGAAAATGTTTCTTTTGAACAGAATGTTTTAATATCATGTATTATCCAAGAACAAAGTTATATGACTCTTGTTTCAAAACTATTAATTCTACCCATGAAAAATTGGTAGGTAAGCTGAGTATTGAAAGTTTCTCAACCAAGCATTTTATCTTTAGGGGTTTGGATTTTTCTCCTTTTTTGCTGGTAAACGGTGAAGGGATCTATGAAAAACACATGAGAAATTACAATTACAGACTCCATAACAGATTACAAACAGGAATCTTAACTAGGCTGCAGAAAGAACAATTGCAACCAGCCTGCCTTCCAGAGACGACCTGTATGCTGGGTAGATCAGAAAGGAGGCTGAGAAGGTATCTACAGACCCTTCATAACCTGGACATAAACTCTTTCAAATCCTTCCCTTGGGAGGCACTATAGGGCATTGCATGCCCAAACAACTAGACACAGGGACAGTTTCTTCTTTTGTATTTTCACTCTGATGAACCCCTAATTCTTGGTGTTGTAGTATGTAGTATGGCTGCAATATTATTTATCTTTCATCTTCTTTACTACCCCGTCTTATTGGTATTATGATTTTGATTCTACTGTTTTGTATGTACATTCTGAGCTTCTGCACCAGAGACAAACTCCTTGTATGTCTAATTACACCTGGCCAAATAAAGTAATCAGTTCAGTTCAAATAGGAAACAACAGCAATTGCCCTGTAAGAATGAATTTGGGGACGTTTACATTCCCATATTTTAACACTGTAATTTTATTATGTTTTGACTGCATTTGTACACCGTTTTAGATGTTTATGCCCAAGAGATGGACTGTAATACTGAAGAAACAACTTCACATATGATCCAAGAGGCAACACAGCAGGGCAAAGAAGATGCACAAAATGCCTAACAGATTAGGCACTATACAGCTTTCCTTAGAGATTGCATAAATATATAAATATGGGACTACTGACATTAGTGCAAAAGGGCATGGAGAAATCGATTTCAATACAATTGCCACTTTTGAGTAACGAATAAAGAAGGCAAAGCTAATTAAACAAAAGGAAAAGGACATTCGAGGAACCGGATCTACCATACGCATGATTCGCTGGGGCCTGAAATCCGGGATGGAAGTGGATTCCTGTTTAGGCGACTCCCCGTCTCTCAGTAGCGCACCCGCGGCTTTCTCGGGTCGAAGAACGACCTGGTGGGCTCCTCAATCCCCATTCCCCACTTTGCGAGCTGCCTTTAGGAGAGGCCGGGGCCCCTCCGCCCTCCCCGCCGGCTTCCCTCCCTCCTGGCGCAGCTTCCACTAGCCGCCCTGACCTTTTCCTCCCCATCGTACAGGCGGACCCCGCGCTGCTGCGTGACGAGGTTCTCGTGGATCTCCAAGAGGCCAGTAGCCCAGGCGAAGCGATCCATGGAACCTCCGCCGCGCACGAACGCTTCCCTGTCCCGGCAATACAGACGGCTCGCCCCGCCCATGGCGCCTCCCCTTTGGGTGAGTTCTCGTGGTGACGAGAATGACGTCAGATGCCATCACCGGAGGCAGACCTTATAGGCGTCACTTAACAGAACAACAAGAGTTGGAAGGGACCTTGGAGGTCTTCTAGTCCAGCCCTCTGCTCTGACAGGAAACCCTATATGCCATTTCAGATACATGGTTGTCCAATCTCTTCTTAAAAACCTCCAGTGTTGGAGCGTTCACAATTTCTGGAGGCAATTCGTTCCATTGATTAATTGTTCCAATTGTGAGCAAATTTCTCCTTAGTTTTTATTTCGTTTTATTTATTTATTTATTTTCGTCAAGCATGTACTTTATGACAGATACAAGTGTAAACATAATTATAAATACATGAAAAGGATACGAATAAAAGAAAACATTAGGACGGACGGTAGGCACGTTGCTGCGCTTATGCACGCCCCTTAGTTCTAGGTTGCTTCTCTCCTTGATTAGTTTCAATCCATTGCTTCTTGTTCTGCCTTCGGGTGCTTTGGAGAATAGTTTGACTCCTTTTTTTTTTTAAGCACAGCACCCACCACCACCACAATTCCACTCTGCCAGACGTTCCCTTCAAATTTGTTCCGTGATAATTCGTTGTTTCTCTGTGTCATATAATATATATGACATATATATGTGTATATATGTGTGTGTGTGTGTGTGTGTATATCTATATATCTATATATCTATATCTATATATATCTGTGTCATATATATGGGTATAAGGATACTTTTGTATTTAGTCATGTCTGTGCACTATATATTAGAGGTGTAGTGTATATTGAGAGCTATATGCAACAAAATTTTAATGTATGCCGATTAGTGTATATTAAAGTTATTCTAAGACTTCTAGTCAGTGGCAGTCAGTCTGACTTTCTAACTGAACAAGAGGAGAGACGAGACTGAAGAAATAGGCTTTCCTGAATATTAAGGGGCAAATTTGATTGATGTCCACCCTAAACTCAGTCCGTGGAAAATTTATTTTCAAATAAATTTTGGAATTTATTGGATTGGATTTTGCATCTCCAAATGGTATCAATAAATCACAAGAAGGAACGGCACATTTATACTGAATTTAGACATTCACTGTAACACATTCAAAACCCCATTCTTTAACAGAAGCGTTGGTATACAAAATGTGGGAACTTGTATTCTATTTGTTTAAAAAAAAACCTTCCATTTCCAGCAAACACTGTTATATGTATTTGGAATGAAATCCCATTACATCACATTGTTTATCACCCCTCACCAATGTGACCTATTAAATTAGTTCCTCAGTATCTAGACTAGGAATTTGGCTAATCTCAAAAAGCTAGTCATGTAGATGTAGCTACTAAATGAATCACAAAGAAATTTTCAAACGAGACAAGACTAAGAAGCTGAAAAAAATATCTCAAAGGCAATGGCAAACCTTTTTCACATTCTTGCCAAGTAAACTATATGGAAATGGCCTTTTAAGTCACAAGGAAACCAGCTCAACTCAAAAGGATGCAAATGTATGGGTTTCCAAGGAAAGTGTGGGAAGATAGGTCCAAGTTATTATGACTGTCCCACTGCAAGAAAAGGAGATACCCTTGTCCTTGAAGAGATGAGCAGAGACCTCCTTAAGGTGGAGGTGGACGCAGCTGTACTGCCTTCGATTCAGCTATACTGTATTGGACAATTGTCTAATTTTAACAACAAAATACCATATAAATGTATCTTGGGTGAAAAGATTAGATTTCTTCAAAAATGCCTCCTGAGTACTATGAAGTAGAAGCATTTCCAGACCATAAAATCCACCACAGAACAGGGTACAGAAAACAAGAGTAGGAGTAAATGAAAATTTATCACAATGGAGGAATGTAACCAGTGAGGTCTCCCATGGTTCTTTTCTAGGACAGTGCTTTTTAATATAATTATAAATGATCTGGAATTGAGTGGAACTAGTGGACTAGCTAAGTTTGCTGATGACACTAAATTGTATAAATGGGATAAACAATAAATGACTTTGTATATTAGGGGTGCGGGTATCAAAATGGCAGAGATGAACAAGTGTAAAATGATGCATGTTAGGGCCAATACTCCTAACTACTATTCAAACTAATGGGAACAAATTTAGTAGTGATTGGTGAGGAAAGAAATCTTGAAGAATGGTAAACAGTTCAATGTGTATATGGTCTGTAGAAAAGACAAAGAGCATGTTAGGGAGGGTTAATAAAAATTATAGAGATGGCAATATCTAATATTGTATTAGATATTATTGTATATTGTATATTATTGTATATTGTATATAAATCAGTGTTTTAAGTACATCTATAATATTTCTCAATGGATGTAGAGAAAGTTCAGAAAAGAGCAACTACAATGATGAAAAGGCTTGAGCAGCTTACCTATAAGAAAGGATTGTGGCACTGGAGTTTTTAAGTCTAGAAAGGAGGCAAATGGGAGAGGACATGATGGAAGTGTACACAATTATGCATGGTGTAGATAAAGTGGACAAAGATAAACTATTTTCCTTTTCCCAAGATACTAGAACCAGAAGAAATCCAGTTAAATTCATTCCTGGAATTAATTAATTCAGGATGGACAAAAGTTGCCACCCCCCCTCCCCATATAAATATATAATATGGAACTCACTATCATGAGACATGGAACTGGCTACCAGGATTCAAAAAATATTTGGACAGATTCATGGAAGTTACGTGGATCTGTGGTTATTAACCTTGATGGCAGTGTGACATTGCTGGGAGATTAGTATTGTTCTTTGTACAATTTGTTGGCCACTGTGAGAATAAACTGCTGGACTACACAGGCCAAGGATCTGATCCAGCAGGCTACTGTTTGTGTTATATTTCTACCCATCTTGAATTTTGCTAGGGTTTTTTTCCCACTGCCTTCAATTTTTTCCAATATTTCTAAAGACACTTGTTCTGCTTTGTGTAGTCAAAATATTTAAGCTTCAGCTTTATTATTAATGCTTCTAGTGAGTAGTCTAAATCAAAGTCTGGCAAACCCTAGCCTAGACCTTCAATTTATGATCTACAGCTGTGATGTTTCACATTTCAGAGATGGGAATATAGTGGCAAGTTTTCAATTAATCTCTACCAAAAAGAAATCAGAGAACTACACTTGGATATAGCTCTGAGTAAGCATCTGTGCTTATTAAATTCTGATTTGCTATCCATTCACTCCTGTAGGAAGAAATATCCTTCTGGGTTCAGTTCCAAGTGGGGAAAAAGACACTGGAAACATGGAGACTATTTGGAAAGATGGTGGTTAGGATCACATGGTTTGAGTTCCTGAGCAGAAAAGGGGCAAGATGGTGAGATTGGTTTTACGCCCTCTCTGAGCTTTGAACTTCCTGGGGCACAGGAAGAGTATCCTGATTGGTTGTCAGACTCCCAGGGGGTGGGAGGTCTTAACTTGCCTTGCTGGTTGATGTAATCTTCCCAGGTACCATGTGGTGAGTTTCTGTTGCTAGATGGGTCCTATTGTGTTGCAGATGATGGTCCATTGACAAAGGTGGTGGTAGGGATTGGGTTTCTGCCTCTGGCCCATTGACAAAGGTTTGGGGGGAGGCAGGAAGGTGGGAGCTGCTTTGTCTTTAAAACATGTTTCTCCATTTCTCATCCAGGGAAACACATTTTGCCCTTTTTAATATTTCCCAAAACTTCATTCTTCCAGGAGAGGGGTGGGTGCCAACTTCCTATACTCTACCTTTACAGTTTTTCTAAAATAGCTCAAGAATATTTTCCTCTAATTCCCACCTGCCCAGCGTGGGGTAAGTTTTTTTTTTTAACACACACACACACACACACACACACACACACACACACACACACACAATGTATTTTTTTTCTGAACAGAGTATTGGCCAGTTCATAAATTTAAACAATTTTTCAATACAATTTATATATTCCTTTTGCCATAGTATTTCCCCTTCTTTTCCTTTTTTTGAATCCGTATTGCCCATTCATCCTAGCTCTAATCTTCATCAAATTTCATTTTTCCCTTCATCTCTATATGAAACCCCTTAAATTTAAAATCTCATTTAACATAATTCCTAATATTACATTCATTCATTTAATATCAAAATAATAAACCAGAATATTTTATGCCATACATTTTCTTAAATCTTATTCCAAGTAATACACTCCAATATCTTAATAATCAATTACCTATATAGCAGTTTTCCCTAATTAATCTTATTTATATTTTTAGAATTTGTCCTTTTATAGACTCCAATCATGCAATTAAAAATATTCCAATTATTCCAATTTCTCTTATTTTAAGTAAAACTTATTTCTAAAAGTTATTTCATTCATGTATCCATTAGTTTTCCATTATTTTAAACTATTTAAAGTATCATAATTACATCTTGTCTCTATACATTTTCTTATATCTAATTCCAAATAATAGACTCCAACATCTTAATGAAAATTAATTACTTGTATGACAGGTTTTTCCCCCCTTTTTATAATAACAATAAACCAAATTGCTTCCAAATTGTGTGGGGTAACTTTTGAACACAATAAGCATGTTTAAAACTAGAAGCCATGAAGTTTTAATGGTATTGTAATAAATCTCTACTTATAAAAGAAACAATTCCTTCCAACCTGGTGGAACAATATATTTTTTCCCCGAATTTTTTTTCAGACTCTTAATTTTCCTTCTTTCCTTTCTTTGAAAATGAAAAGAGGAAAAATGAACTGCACAAAGTTGTGCTGCAGCACGCATTCATTCCAAAAAAACAAGGAACTCACAAATTACAGAAGGAAAAAAGGCGAGGTAGGACTAGGAT